TGTTCCAGTAGACAACGAAGTGGCGCAGACTGTGCAGAAAGCTGTGGTATGAATTTTGCCAGGTATGTAACCATACCAAGAAAGCGTCTGACATCATCTTTGTTCTGTGGTCTCTCCATGTTTTCAATTGCGGTTGTTTTCTTAGGGTCAGGCTTTATGCCCTCCTCCGAGATGACATCTCCTAGAAAGGTTAGTGATTTCATTCCTAATTCACATTTCTCTTTGTTGAGCTTCAGATTGACTTTACGAGTCACTTCAAGTACCTCTCGAAGTCTGGTGTCGTGCTCCTCTTTGGTTGCGCCATAGACTATGATGTCGTCCATCATTGTTTCCACGCCTTTTATGTGTTGGTAGATCATTCTGATGGTTTTGTGATATACCTCTGGAGCTGAAAGTATGCCAAATGGGAACCTCAGAAACCTGTATCTGCCCTCAGGGGTGTTGAAGGTGCAGAGTCTTGATGACGCCTCGTCCAGCTTCATTTGCCAGAATCCTGTAGAAGCGTCCAACTTGCTGAACCATTTTGCCCCTGCAAATTGTGACATGATTTCCTCTCGAGTGGGTAACTTAAAGTGCTCTCTCTTGATGGCCTTATTTAGATCTCTTGGATCCAGACAGATTCGGAGCTGGCCGTTTTTCTTTTCCACTATATGCAATGAGCTCACCCAATCCGTGGGCTCTTCAGTTTTTGCTATCACTCCCAGTTTTTCCATGCGAAGTAGTTCTTCTTTAAGCTTTCCTCTTAAAGCAAAGGGAACCTTTCGACATGCATGAATGACTGGTGCCACTTGGTGGTCAATGTGAATTTTATGTTCCCCTGGGAGGCATCCCAGCCCCTCAAAAATGTCTCTAAATTCATTGAGGAGTGTCTCATTGCTTGTGTCCTTATGCACATTAGCCACAAAGACTTTCTTTACTAAGTCCAGTCGCACACATGTTTTTAAGCCTAAAATTGGCTGTACATCTTTGTTTACAACCAGCATCTGTATTCTGTAGTGTTTCCCTTTGTATAGGACGTTTGCTATGCAGCTGCCTTTCACTGGCACCTCTTCTCCTGTATAGCCTGTGACTTTTATCTTGACTGTGTTTATTTTTGGCTTCTGTCTGAGAGTTTTATATTCTTTCTCTGATATGATATTGACTTGGGCACCTGTGTCCAGTTTAAATGGCACAATTGTACCACTAACTGTTAATGGTACAATTCATTCATCTTTGCTATTGCTGCATACTTTTACTGAATCCACAAAAAATGTCTCTGTGTTTTCTTCCACAGTGTGTACTTTAGTTCCAGTATTTTTTGTTTTGCAGCATTTTGCCTAGTGATTGCATTTGCCACACTTATTGCAAGTTTTTCCGAATGCTGGACACATCCTGGGTTCGTGACGGCTGCCGCACTTTCCACATGCATATTTATTCGAATCTGATCGGATCTTTCTTTGTTTAGACTTACATTGCGGTGGCTTTATGTTTTTGAGAGCGTGCACTGTTCTGTCTTGTTTGTTTAATTCCTTTGCTTGTGCGCGAGTAGTCTCTGCCGCTCTGCATATGCTTACTGCTTTCTCTAGCGTAAGATCTTGCTCTCGCAGCAGTCTCTCTCGTACTGAATTGTCTGGAATGCCACATACTATTTTATCCCTTATCAGAGATTCGCCAAAGTCACAGGTTTTACTCATAGTATGAAGCTCCGCTAAATACTGATCAAAACTTTCGCCCCCTTTTTCTGTTTTGTTTCGGCACAAAGTACTCTTCAAATCAGTCTCTCTCGTACTGAATTGTGTGGAATGCCACATAGTATTTTATCCCTTATCAGAGATTCGCCAAAGTCACAGGTTTTACTCATAGTATGAAGCTCCGCTAAATACTGATCAAAACTTTCGCCCCCTTTTTGGTCGCAAGAGAAGAATTTGTACCTTTCATACGTGACGTTCTGTTTCGGCACAAAGTACTCTTCAAATCGGGCCATGACGTTTTGCAATTTAAACTCATCCTCTGGTATTTGGAAGCTGTTGTAAATGTCAAGCGCATCCTCGCCGATGACATGTAGCAATATAGACGCTTTTCTTTTTTCGTCATCGCCACCTACCCTGCTTGCATCCAAGTAGATGGTGAAACATTGCTTGAATCTCTTCCAATTTTCTGCTAAATTTCCTGTCAGCTGCATACCAGACGGGGTTTGAAACTTATCCATTTCTGCGTTTTCTTTTCTTTCTCGAAACACACTTGCTATCACTGTTTTGTCGCTTGTTACTCCTGTTTTTATTTCTCTCTGATTTCTCCGTTTTCTCTCTTGCACGTCTGGGCTTAATATATCTTCTCTCGCCTCTTTAGACTTTCTTTTTAGTCAATATTTACGAGAGAACCACTTCTGACACCATGTTTTGTTTATATTTTACAGACAGACCCGAACACAGTCATCCTTTAGCCGTGTCGACATCTTTATTTCTCCTTCGACCTCTGCCCCTGGACACACCCCTTTATAGCACCCATGCATAACAACACACAGAGCAGTCTAATGTGAGAAATGGCATTGTCTGTCTTCCATCAGCTGCCTAAACCGTGGCACAAAAGGTGTGGTTGCTAGACGGAGACACTGGCCTAAATGATCATTAGTGAAGCTTTTTGAGTTTTTCACAACATTCATGGCTGAGAATGCCGACTCGCACCGATAGGTCGATCCAAACATGGTAAGAACACAGATGGCTTCTTTCTGTAGGTTGGGGAAATTTTCAACTGTGACCATTTTAGTCCAAAAGGTAACAGTGTCACAGTCCACTTCCCGCAAAGCCACATTTTCCTGCAAGTCAATTAGTTCAGTCTGCAGAGATGCCATGCTTGCCCATGGGAAGATTCTTTTGGTTTCTTATGAAAACTCCTCAACATTCTTGACCAGGAATGGAGATGGAATGCAGAGCAGCACTTGTCTGCCAACATTGAAGCCCTCAAAGCGCTCCCTGAAATTTTCAGCAAGCTTCTCCAAAAACGGAAAGATGGTGATGATGCCATTAGTCTGCTGGAGAAGAGTTGGAAAGTGGATATGTGGCCCTGTGATATCACTCTTAAAAATCTCCAGCCACCTTTCAAAGGAGCGTACTGCTGCCATCAGATCACAGACAGTGTTGCCTTGGCCCTGGAGCCTCAGATTCAGTTCATTTAGATGAGATGTTATGTCCACTAAAAAGGCCACAATCATCAATCACAATCAATGCTGTCATCATTCCTCAGAAAATCCAAGTAATGCCTGGCTTTGACATTCTTCTGCTGGGACAAAAACATCTCCAAATCTTTCCTGATGACCCAAAACCTCTCCAAGACTCTTCCCTTACTCAGCCACCTCACATTGTTATGGAGGAATAAGTGATCATAAGCAGCATTTACCTGGTAAGGGGAAGAAAAAAGATAAAAATAAATAAATACATGATCTTTCTGAGTTGCACAAATATTCATAAAGTGAATACAAACGCCTTGTAAATGTTGTAAATGTAAATGGTTTAAGTCTGTTGTAAGCAGATTTTGATGGCAACTGTTGATACTTCCAAATACATATTTTACATTTCCCCTACATTTTATTTACAATTGAAAATGATTATATACATTTAAAAAAAAAAAAAACTTCTGGTGTGTCTCTATCAGGATCAATGGTGATGAGAATTGGTGTTATGTCTGGAAGGGTTTTAATTCTACCTGTGACAGAAAATTAACCGCGGTTTTACATGAAAATTGTTCTTGTACTAAATTTCCTTAAAATAAATGCCACTTTGTGTGATTTTTATCTGATGTAATCATTATAATAAAAATAATAATTATTACATAATGTATATAATGTAATTTAATAGACATTTTGTATTTATATAGCACATTTCCAAAACCCAAGGACACTTTGTCACGCAAACTTTTAACCATACTGTCCAGTCTTTTTTTTAGAGTGCCATATAACTTACTGTAAACTTACTAATTCTTCAGATGTTTTAAAATTGATCATACGAGTTGTATGACTATAACCATATAGCAAAAATGAGTCAGAAGACTGATGGTGCCTGTCCAGATTGATTAAACTGTTAAAGCATTCCGGTTCATTTGTTAATTTCTCATTTAATTTTAATGTGTAAAAAAATGTTCTCCATGCTCAGGTTTGACTGTAGTGTTAATGCAAAAATTACACTTCAAAACATTTCAGACAACACACATAAACGTCGACAAAAATGGTGTTTGAAAATTTTAAGCATTCAAATCCACAACCTAAAAAGGAAGGAATCATGTCTAAAAACAACTAGAGAATTCACAAGCCTCTTACCCAAAATACAGTTGTCTGCTATACAGGCGTCACACTTCAGTGGTTACACTGAAATTGCTTTTCTTTGCTCATACCAGGTAGAGCTAATCTGCCTTCAAAAATTGGATTTCAAAGTCCTAGTCTCCATTTTAATCTAAAATAAATTCATAAATTGCATTAACGGAAAAATAACTTTAAAAGAAGGGAAAAAGTATCACTTCCATAGGGAAAAAAACATCAGTTGCATAAATATTAACTGGTAACATAGTCCTCTTTTAAAAAAAAATAAAAATTTTTTTGAAAAACTCCATTACACTGATTTCACTGGATTGGGGTAAAAACCAAAAAAAAAAAAATTCAGGTGTCCAGTCACTCTTGACCACAAGGGTGACTGCCAAATGAGAAACACCACAGATAAGTGTAAAAATACCTTTGTGTCATAATTGGAAAGCAATTTAAAAAAATAAATAAATAAAATTATTCACTAAAATTATTAAAATCAGCTTTTAGGCTCTTCACGTTATTACCCTGCATTCATCATCTAATTTGTAGTATCACACTTTTGCTGCCAAGCTCCTGGAGATGGAAACAGGGATCTTGATGCAAAACATTTTGCAGGTGTTTCTCTTGGTAAGGGGGAAACTTGTACTTTCCCCAAGCACCAGTGGCCATTATGTGAAAATGGCCAAACGGATTCATCAAAAAACAAAAAACAAACACAACACACAACAACTTTACCAAGCCATTTATTTGAGGACCACAAACAGGGAAATATTATGCCTTATGAATAAAGAACAGAATTGAAGTCCAGTAGGCCTGTTTGTTACACAGTCAGTCTCTCTGTGATCTTTTCCCATACGGTTCACTGCATGCATGGCCACAGGTGGTTGGGCAACACTTCTTTGTGGCAGGACACTGGCCATCATAGGAACAGCTTTCAGCACACGCTGGAATCTTCTTTGGTTTGGGACACCGACCAGGCTTCACTGCATGGACACAGAGTGTCAGCTTTAGTCGGTCCATGTAGTCGCATTCAGTCTTAAACATACAACACTAAACACTCAGCATTGACAGCAAGTTTTGAATGAATGCATCTTATGCTCACATAAATTTTACCTACAGAGAGTTATATTCCAAGTATTGTTTTATTAATTGTAAAGCCATCCTGCATTTTTAAAAAAAAAATAAAAATAAAAAAAATAATTTAAAAAAGTCCTATGGGATGAATAAGTTAACATACATTTGAAACCAAGAAATTATATATTTTTTTTGTATTATTCACCGACCCAAGTGGTTCTAAAACCTCTCCATGAAGTACCCCCAGCACTGCACATTTTGTACACCTCCCTATATCTGACACACCCACTTCAGGTCTTGCAGTCGCCACTGAGTTGACGAGTTGAATCAGGTGTGATAGATAAGGGAGACATACAAAATATGCAGGGCTGGGGGCACTCCAGGACCGGTTTGAGAACCACTGCACTGACCCAAACAATATAACAGACACCTGTATATGGAGCTGTACAGTAACGTCCACCACATCCACTGCTGCAGCACTTCTCATTGTTCGGACAGTTAGAGTCACTGGTACAGGACTTGGTACACAATTTTCCTCCAGATGTTTGGGGAGGACACTCTCCTGGCTTTGCTGTTATACATGACAAAGCATAAAGACTGAATGCTGAACGTCTCCATTAACATTTAAAGCTTTACATTCAAGTCTTTGCTTAAATTGTACACTTAACACAATGTGCTACTCTCCTGCAATTCTCATTAACTAGCAACTATTGATCCAAAAAAAAATAATAAATTATCTTCAACACTTCTTTTGGAGAATCTCCAGCACCCATTATGAAGTGAAACTCACTGGCAACAGGCGGCACACACACAGGTCCACAGTCAAATCGACAGCATTTGTGTCCTCCAGAGCAGTCTTTATCCGAAGAACATCCTCGACGGGACGGCTCAACCATCAGCTTTGCCGGACAGCAACCAGACACTAGAGGATTCAAGAGGATTGTTAGGAGAGGCCAGGGAGTGCCAGTTCAGCATTTCTGAGTCAGGGGCTTTGCAATGAGTCTCAAACTTTAATACAACTATCCGTTTCAGATAGAAGCAGTTTAGAAACCCACTACTCATCCCTAAACAGTTAATAATTTTGAAAGATAGAACAGCCACTTTTAGAACAGCCAATTTCTGCATTTCTTGGGGCTGTGTAATCAAGTTAACAGACCTTCTCACCTGTGGCTTTACTATGAGTAGCATCTGTTGTGCTCAAGTATCCGGACAGACACAATAAAACCGCAATCAGCAAGCAGTACTCTTGAGCTGTCATCTTCTAGACCTGAGATCTCTCAATGATCTGCTGGAAAACACGCTGAATTAATGCGTCAGGAGGCGAGAACAGCAAGACACACCAAACAAACTACAGTGTTACAACAATAAAAACCTCTGTAAAATAGGGGCTTTTAAAGATCCAGGGAGATCCAGTCTACTCCAACTCTGATTAAACTCACCTGCATGTAGCTTTAGTAATCATGAAGGCCTTGATTAGCTTGTCCAGGTGTGCAACTACACAATTCACCAACACAATGCATTACAAAATATCAATCAAAACATGCTTTACTGAAGTTGAATACTTTGAATTTCATTATGGAAATGAATAAAGATCAACAAAAGTTACTGTGTTGCGCTGCTGCAGCAAAATGGGAAATGCTTCAAAAGCCTTTGATTTCATAAATCAGAGTTGCACCTCATATAAATGTAGCCCATTTCACAGAGTAATGACTGTTATGAGACACAAACAAGCACTCAGTCGTGTTGAAGCAGTGCCCTTTATATTATTTTCCATTCTTGTACTTCCTCATGTGGGATGTAGTGGATGATGAGATCTCAGAGGATTTCTTGTTCTGTCCAAAATACTCAAGAAACTAGCCATCAGGTCCCACCAGATACATTTTGATGGTGGGATCAACCTGCAGTTATGAGAAAATACATGCTGAGTACAGGCTTGTGAGATTATTAGGAATTATTTAAAGATATAGTTCACCCAAAAATGAAGATTCTGTCATCATTTACTCACCCTCAAGTGAGGAATATTGGTAACCAAACAGCTGATAGTAGCCATTGACTTCCATGGTATTTTTTTCCACACTGTGTAAGTCAATGGCTACTATCAGCTGTTTGGTTACCAACATTCTTCAAAATATCTTCTTTTGGGTGAGTAAATGCTGACAGAATTATTTTTTTCGGTGAACTATTCCTTTAATATTAGTCAAGAAAATAACTTTCTTCTGTCAGGTTATTACACAAGCTAAACTACATTATTTTACATTATACATTAAAAGCTCACAATGTAGTCGTTGTCTTCATCTTTTGGGCCCTGGCTATAATACACTCTGTAGTAGGCTCTGGAGACTTGCTCAATCTGGGCAGCTGTGCCTGTCAGACCGATCAGTTTGGGGGAAAACTCTGCATGTGAGATTTTGAAAAACATAAATGACGAGGAATCATATTACAGCATTCGGTGAGTGTAGAGTGATAAAATGATCCCTGCTGACCTTTGACATAGGCTGCCAGTGCTTCTGGTGTGTCTCTATCTGTTACGTATCCGGTCCGACATAGGGGTGCATTATTTAGGATTACTTGTATCATTATTGGGTCATTTAGATTGCTCTAATTGTCAAAGGTTCGACAAGGCGGTATAGGCGTTATCTCAATCAGGTTTGTTGAGTTCTCAGGTTCGGGTTCTTGGTCAGTCTTATCACGTCGGAACATGCGCGGGACAAGGAAATTGTAGTGAGAGGGGAAACGAAAAACACAAAGAGAGACACAAAGGAAAAAACAAAGAGACACAAGGACACCGAATGAGGTGAGACAGC